TACTCGTATATATCTCTCATTGATCGCTTATCTGATTGGCTTTTCATTTCGTACATATTTTGTTCGCAGTCTACATATATATAGAGAGATAGATAATGCCACACATTCATATATTTTGGGTATTGTTTTGTGTCACTGCTTAACGCCCGTACTTGTCCGATCAGTGACAGAACCAATGTGTTTACAAAAAAGAAACAGACACGACGGCAGACGTTGTGAAAAGTGCAGTTGGGAATGCGGGCGTGCGTTTGTGCGAAAGCATTTCATTATCTGCAGGTGACCGACAGTGTGGGGACGAGAATAAGCGCAACCCTCGTAGCAGACAGTATAATTGTAGCGTAGACCGGTTTCGACGGAATTTGTCTTAACTTCACCTCTGACCTTTGAACAGGCAATTCCTGGAAGTTGTCGGCCTTGTGCCATAATTTGATTAGAAAAGTACACAGCGAAAGGTAGGAATTTGCGAAGAGATTCGTCAATGACTCTTACACCATGCATATATATATATATATATATATATATATATATATATATATATATATATATATATATAAGAAAAACAGACCACTTTTAAGGTTCCATTATAATAATTTATTTCACCAGAGCCCTTTTAAAGGACTCCGGATCATCAGATAGCACTTCCAAAAATGAAACGAAAAATGAAATGAACATTGATGGGTAATGTAAGTTTTTGTAATTTAACAGAACGAGACTCTTCACGAAAGCGAATTGAGTCACTGTCATGTTTCTGGGCATGTTTCTAAAAATAAATATGCTAAAAATCCATCTTTATTCCTACCGTGCGCCGACGGCTTAGTGGTTAGAAACTCCGACTGACACCAATTCAGTCGAGTTTCGATCCTAGTTAGAGGCAACCGGAAGTCTGCCACACTAGCGAAACAGTCTGTCTGTGGATGACGTTATATATATGTCCGATGCAATGAGAACGAAAGTAATATATAAATTCTAACGTTCACAGCATTAATTCAAAAGAGGGTTCGATGCCTATAGTAAAGTGGTAATAATTTATCATATTGACAAAAACTTTTTACTCACTGCAAAGATGCAACTTCGTTCCGGTGCATTTCAATTGCACTTTGACGGCTGAGAACCAATATATATATATATATATATATGTTTTGATTGTTTTTAATTATATTTACGATATTTTAAATCATTTTTAATTTTCGATTGGTATATTAATTGGTATTGATTAAGATAACTTCCCAAACTGCAATATTTAATACAAATTAAACTGACAAAATAACAAAGAACAATCGTCTTTAAAAATAGCCACACTCTTGTTCAAATTAATCGAAACAACAACTTTAGTTTCGTTTCTTTCACCATACGGTCAGTTTTAGACCCACTGGTGGGAAAGGGTGTAATCGATCTATTTTTTCCTCAGATTAGGTCATTTGCAGTGGTGTGCAGTAATATGAATCTATTTTCGGGGGTGTATGATGAAATTTGTTTGGCCTAGAAAAATATTGCGTCATCCGTGATTACATCAGATTTTTATTACACCCTGACACTATTCTCTCGACTGTCAATTAGTTGTCCTACGGCCATTGTCTGCAATGGACGTTACTCCAAGGAAGCGTACGAAAATTGTAACGCTGCACGAACACTCCGACAAGCTTTACCAGTGAACAAATCGAAGTATTAGAGACTGGCCCGGAAAATCTCCTGATTTAAATCCAATCTAGAATCAGTGGTCAATCTGCAAAGAGCGTCTTCGTAGAATGGACATACAAAGTACTAACATAAGCACTGGGCCATGTTTCTTTGTGAAAAATACAAAGAAAAAGTAAATGATAACGGAATTATTTATATTGTTTGAAATAAGTTGCACATGGGTGTAGTTTTATCCAAAAATATTTAGATATGGGGCATTTTATTTAGCCAACCAACACGTAATCACCCACAAAATATTAGAAACATTGAAAAAAGTATCAATTAACAAGGAACTTTACTGGGTTTTAATTTAACTTGCAAAATATATACATATATATATATATATATATATATATATATATATATATATATATATATATACACACACACACACATATATATATATATATATATATATATATATATATATATATATATATATATCAAAAGCCATATTAGGTAATTGACTTTTTAGTTTGATGAAGAAGACGAAAAGCGTTACGTAAAAATGTTCTCCTTTGTCATTTAGTCTCACACACAGAGACACACACATGCACGCATTTATATATATATATATATATATATATATATATATATATATATATATATATATATATGTGTGTAGAGAGAGAGAGAGAGAGAATGAGAGATAGATAGATAGAGAACGAAACAAGATCAACCGCAAATAATGCAGCCATTTAACATTAAATTTGATTTTTACTCTATTCACCCCACCCCAAGCAAGGTAATAATGTCACTAAGACGGAAGTGGTCATTTGGAATGAAAGAGAATGAAAAGACTTTGGGAAGAACCCGAACAAGAAACCCAATCCTAAACAAATGATAAAACTCATTTCAAAAGACCGGAAGTTGTGTGAACCGGGTGATAAACGAATCTATCTACTCTTATCTAGAAGAAAAAATAATAATTAGTAATTAAAATGTAAACGATGTATTAGTGGTTGTAAGATTAGTATTAATATATACCGTAAAGAAGATGGGTCGACAGACACCATGGTCTGAATGTGTGGGGAACGAGAAAATTGCCAAGAAAATGGGAACTAAAAGTACACTTTGATATAAAATCAGTAAGAAACCGTAGAAATTTCTGCGGTACATTATAAGGATAGAGGGCTTGGAGAATTTAACACGTAGAACATTTTGAAAGCAGACGGAAACAGGTCGTAACTTGAAAAGGATTCGGTGTTTTATACACTCGTGGTCTATATCGCATCTGTGCTGAGTTGGGATCTTTTTTTTTTTTTTAAAACAAAGCCATTATACTCTAACCCTCGCTCACGATGACCATTGTCTTCGTGCCATCACAACCATCGTCGACTTCCAAACGGTTTCCTCAACCCAATTTTCACCCACGAAGCTTGGGTCAAGTCGGGGTATGGTACTTTCCAAAGCAATCACGTTCCGGCATCGCATCATCCAAGCTGATAGCATCAAGAACTCACCTCTCTGACAAATCCAACATGGTAGATCGGATAGCGGGTTTCATAATCATAAAGTGCACTCGGCCATATATGATTGTCATGGGTCCTTACCTATAACTACAGAATGAACTCTTCCTAACACAATGTATACTACGCCTCTCAAGAGAGAGGGTCGAATCAAGCCGATCATTTCGACTTGACGGTCGAACTCTCTGCTTTTGAGCAGAAAGGAACCCGGACGAGGTTCCGCCGAAGGGCAGAATCTCGTTCGGGGTGAATGACCTACCCTATCTCGTTTTTACGAGTTATACGGGCATATTTTTGGCTGAGCCTACGGGCTCAGGAAACCCACGATAAAAATGACCTTGTGTCGCATGCAACCCTCGTGGGGGGGCTAGATACTGAATCAAGCCGAGCTTCTCGACTTGACGGTCGAACTCTCTGCTCTTGAGCAGAAAGGAACCCGGACGAGGTTCCGCCGAAGGGCAGAATCTCGTTCGGGGTGAATGACCTACCCGATCTCGTTTTTACGAGTTCTACGGGCATTTTTTGGCTGAGCCTACGGGCTCAGGAAACCCACGATAAAAACGACCTTGTGTCACATGCAACCCTCGTGGGGGGTGGCTAGATACCGAATCAAGCCGAGCTTCTCGACTTGACGGTCGAACTCTCTGCTTTTGAGCAGAAAGGAACCCGGACGAGGTTCCGCCGAAGGGCAGAATCTCGTTCGGGGTGAATGACCTACCCTATCTCGTTTTTACGAGTTATACGGGCATATTTTTGGCTGAGCCTACGGGCTCAGGAAACCCACGATAAAAATGACCTTGTGTCGCATGCAACCCTCGTGGGGGGGTGGCTAGATACCGAATCAAGCCGAGCTTTTCGGCTTGACGGTCGAACTCTCTGCTTTTGAGCAGAAAGGAACCCGGACGAGGTTCAGCCGAAGGGCAGAATCTCGTTCGGGGTGAAAGACCTACCCTGATCTCGT